ACACAAAATATACTTTCGTTTACAGTTAACTACAAACTATCTCTAGAAAATAATGAAGTTTTTGTTGAATCGTGCACCATAACTTCTTTCAATACATCGAATTCATCCGCCTCGTACTTGTCCTGGCAAAGCGGGATCATATAAACAGCCCCTTATTCAGCAAATTGTGCAGACTGCCTTTGATCCCTTGGGGGTGAGGCAGCACTTTCCTTGCGATAGTAACTTCTAGTTAATATACTTTTGAGAGCAAACCATGATGTGCATTTTTGTGTTGTAGGTTGCCTTCAGCAAACAAGAAATGGTCCCAAGTTAAAACAACAGTTAAACTTTATTTAAAAAGTGTGCTACAGGTAGACATTAACATCATAAAGCGATTTTCAATGTTGTATAATAATCAGTACAAGTACATTGGGCACAAAAGCATGAAAAAAATGACTGTATTTTGTCTAGGTGCTACGGAAACTCTCTGACCCATCAATTTTATGTGTTGTACTACGTCATACTCATGTGCTGTGTCCATATTATGCCTCCTTTCCAAAACTGACAAGAGCTTTTATCAAGGTTTGTTAATTATCTTGCAATTCATCAAAATGTAGGGCAATAGTCTATTTTAATTGAAGCAATGCTACTATCCAATGCCCATACATTTCTCATTTTCCAGAGGATGGTTCGTATGTGGTCAAGTGGTGAAGAACATGTTAGAGTCATGGCTTTTGTTGGCCTCACAAAGTTGTTACGATTAATTTCAACAACACTTGTTGACTTTGCTATTAAGGTACTATCTGGTATTGGTGAGCTTCACCAAGCACTATCTTGCAGTAGATGGTGGTCAAGCTGCATTTCTGAGGTTGACCACAACCTGTTGCCTGGCAACATTTATCAAAACCCACCAATAGCATAATTTTCTCTCTTGCAGCAATTGTACACAAATTTTGTTAAGAACTGCAAGTTCACTTCGGTAGCTACTCTGCCACTGATTGTCTTCATGCAAAATTCGCTTGTGGAAATATTCAGTTATAATCCAAATTCAACATATCAGCAAGGTTTTGTATATATCAGGCAGTTGGCCATTCATCTCAGAAATGCCATGGTTCAAAGGAAAAAGGTAGGGAAGCTCTGACCATTTAATTTGCAACTTGTATTGTCCTGGGGTGTTGGTCGTTAGTGCATGATTGTATATTATCAACTCTGTGTGATAAACAATAATAGCTGGTCCTAAGAGGAACCCTAAGGAGAACAGTTTAGAACTGATAGAGCTATCCAATTTAAGGTTAGTCTGCTAAAATCTAATTAGCCTGGCTCCTCACAATTTTAGATCATATTTTTTTCAGGATTCCTTTCAATCTGTTTACAACTGGCAGTTTATTCACTGTCTTTGTTTATGGAGTCGAGTTTTGAGTGAAATACCAAACAAAGATGTCCTACAACCACTCGTATATCCTTTAGTTCAAGTGACACTTGGAGTCATCAGGCAAGTAACACTGTGTCTAGTAACAGGGACCTCAAGCATGTAGTACGGCAACCTAAGTACATAAGTACAGTGGAAATCTTGCCTTGTATTAACCATGTAAGAAAATACGTATTTTACTGTTTTAAACAGAGCATGGACAGCGTCTTAAGATTTTGTAGGACTGTAGATTTATTTTGTACTATAATTACATTTTGTTAACAGTCATTGTCTTCTTGTTGCTGCCCGTTGCGGATTACAGGACTAACAAATCTCGTTTATTTTAGGCTTAATCCGACCTCAAGATATTACCCACTTCGTTTCCACTGCATTCGCTCTCTCAACTTGTTGTCTCAAGCAACCGATATGTTTATTCCTGTCGCGCCATTTCTCTTGGAGGTACGGTTATCAAAAATACTTCAATGAAGTCTGGTTAGCCACGACTATGTGTCATTAGACATTACTTCACTTTTTTTGCACTTTTTCGGTAATATCTACCACCCCACATCTTCTGATCTCTTCATTCTATAATATCTCTGACCAGCTCTCCTTCATCTCTTCTTATTACGTGTCCATACCATCTCAACCTTGCTTCCCTCACCTTCTCTGCAATGTCTACCACCCCACGTCTTCTTCTGATCTCTTCATTCCATAATGTCTCTGACCAGCTCTCCTTCATCTTTTCTTATCACGTGTCCATATCATCTCTACCTTGCTTCCCTCACCTTCTCTGCAATGTCTACCACCCCACATCTTCTTCTGATCTTTTCATTCCATGGTGTATCTGACCAGCAATCTTCATCCCCTTTTATTATAGACGTATTTATAAAAGGTCTTGCTTCCCTCACCTTGTCTGAAATTTCTCTTTTTAGATACTGGATGGCGCAGAGTTCAACAAACCATCGAAGTTATCAACGGCAAAACCGACAAGTTTTTCTTGTATTTTAAAAGTTTCTAAACAGCAGTTACACACGAAAGCATTTCAGGTAAGACGGGGCAGCAAATATGAACTGCAGAAATGTTGAAAATTGAACTATTTGTGTCTCATCTTTTTTTGTTTGCCCAAATAAAAGACTACTAAACCTAATAAAAATTAACATTATTTCCTCACTCTGATAACTACTGGACGGTATAAGTTAGTCGGCGTGAAGTAAGAAGTAGAATAAAATAAATCCTTCTCTTACTTTGTTATTATAGGACTCTGTAGTCGATGAAGTCGTTGAACTTTTATTGGAGCATTTCTCAACGCATGCACATTCCATCGGCTTTCCAGAACTTGCTTTTCCGTGTGTAGTGAAGGTAAGTGAAGATTGGTATACTACAATGAATTTGACGTATCTGATCTGGAGAGGGTTTTTTTAGTAAACTTTAAAACATTTTCCAGATGAAACATTTTGTGAAAACATCTAAAGTACCAAGACTGGGCAAGCAAATAAAACAACTGATAGAAAAGCTGAATGAAACTTCGCAAGAAGTGACTAAGCGACGCTCCACTGTGTCGTTCAGTCCCAAGGATGTTCAGGAAGTGGTAAGTCTATTAAAACTTTTAAGCAAGCGTCGCAGAGTTCAACCCCAGAAATTTACAGATTGAGGGGGACTCAACTGCCTGAAAAATACAAGTAAAAATTTCGACCTTGTATTTTTCAGGTCGAATCCATCTTTGCAGCTTTGTGGTGTTATTATCACTACTACGCTGTCAAAGACCACTCTGAAGCGCGCCATAAAAGGGTTTGGAAAGGACTTTGGAAAGTCTACGACCACTCAGGCAAACCTAAGTATGTACATTCTATTTTTTTAAATAAATTTTATGATTTTCTTGTAGGAAAAATGGGAGGCAGAATATCGCAAAAAGCCAAACGCAATCGTGCAGTTTTACAACCGTTGGAAGAGTATGAAAGTTAGTCTACCACAGCAAGTATGTCAAGACAAATTTTAACGCGTTTGTAGGATCAGAATTTCTAACTAAAGATAAGTTAACATTTTGTCTTTATTTCGACAGGATGAAAAACCGCACGAGAACAAGGACAGCGAATCAGACAACGAGGAGATGAAGTCGCCAAAAAAGCGCTCGAAAACGGGCACGAAAACGAGCAAGAAAAAACGCCATGACGTCGAAGCAAAACACAAACATTCCATGAAAGCTGAACAAGCTGACCGTGAGGAAACTGAGGCGAATGACGTGGATGACATTGTGGAAGACTTTCAGTTTTCAGACTTGGATGAATGACACAGCTCTTTGTCGAGGCCCGTTTAAACATTCTGACAAACTAGGGTTGTTAGGACCGTGACTGTCTCGTACCCACGCGCAGGACGACACGCGCGGGAGAACCACGAAGTCTCGAATATTACGAACTCGCCTCCCACGTGTTGTGAGCAATTACCATGATTTAATCTTACCGTGTTCTTCATGACTCAATTTCCCTCATCTCGTCTTCCAAAAAGTCTAAAAACATTTCCAAATTGCTCGATTTGGCGCTTCCTAAATATAGAAGAATAAATTATTGTTACTCAAATAACCTAATCGACTGTCGGCCAATTCGTTCACGTATATAATTTGAATGCTTGGTTATCGTTTTCCATTCTATGCTCAAGTCCGGATCAAACAAGCATGAGAGTTGGCAGTCACGTGATCTTGGTTAGCTGTTCTTAATGCTTTCCCAATACTATCATGTATTCTATTAAGTTAAAACATAGTTGGAACACTCATCAAACCTGTTATATGTTATCAATCTAGAGCTTGAAATGTCCCCTGCAACAATGCGTGACTCTCATCCTCATGACTTAAGCATAGAATGGAACAAAAAGCTGATAAAGTCTGTTTTTAGTCGGATAAATTGCAATATAAAATAAGAACTGAAGTGGAAGTAGGTCGGAGGAAGTAAAAACATACCAGTTAGTTTTTCATTCAACCATTGAACAGTTTTAAAAGCTCCTCCATTGCTACCCTTGCTGTAGAAGTCAACCGCTAGAAAGTTTGCCCACTTTCCAAACTTCCTATAACACGTTGTAAGTTTGCGTTTTAGATGATCAAAATCATTTAAACATGGTGACAAACCATTTGGAATTGTTGTGAACCAATTGACCAAGAGTAATCGTCTTTCACCCAAGTGATTCTTGGATTCCTTTCTTTCCTTGCATTCCTGTTGTAAGAAGTTGACTAGTCAAGTACCAATTTTGTCTCAGTGTTATTATTCAAGTTCTATCAGTTCTAAACTGTTCGCCCTAGAGGATAGGTAAAAAGGGCCTATTGATCCAGTATTACTACAGGAGGAAACCTAAACTAACTTGTTTATACTGGATAGCTCTGTCAGGCAAGTAAGAGCCATCCATTTAATGGTACGGAATTGGTGTTTAGTCAAGTCAGATTGGAATCACATTTCTCAAGCGTAATGTATTACACGCGTATTGTATTAAATGTATTACAAGGGGTGTACCCCTTCTGGACTACTCGTCACCTTGGCTATAGAGCCTCGTTTTCGTGATTGATACATTGGGCGTTAAGCAATGTCACATACACGAAAGCGAGGCTCGTGACGTACATTCCGAAAGGGTGTATTATATTACTACAGCGCACACATTGCCCTATACTTACATTAGGATTTTTGCTAACACTTCCATAACGACTTTCAATCATAAAATTCCACATATTCCTTGTACTGTAAGGAAATTCTGTCAACCCGACATTATTAAACACGACCAGCCGACGACCTAACGAGATCATCTCGGAAAGTGTCGGCCAGTCTTCGACTTCTCCCCAATAATCCGACGTCAACACGAACTTTGAGATATCAGCTTCGTCGAACACCTTCGCCAGTATTCGTGGGTTCTCAAGGTAATCTTCGAATATGATCGTGACGACTTCGTGAGTATTTCGCTCCAGAAATTCACGTATTTCTATCAACGTGAACAAGAGATCAGTGGAACCACTCCAGATGCAGCTTCCATGACATAAACGAACATCAGCGTCGTTCCAGCCTGAAAATGAAAAATGAACTATTTTCTCACTTTGAGAATTGTTGGTTGACAACCAGAGGTTGACAACCATCTATTTTTGGGTTTCACTGCGGCATCGATGCTTATGCTGTACTGGAGTGAGAAAATGATACGAAATTCCATGTATTTGCCACCAAACACAAGGTTAATACATAAAACGAACAATCGACTCACTCTGATAACTGTGTTTTGTTTTAGAGTTGACCCCCGTCACTTTTATGACGTCATATGGAACCCAAGAATACTGGAGAATACAGATTATAGGCCCGTTTACGGTTTACATGAGATCGGAATGAAATCAAACCGGGGTGAAAATCGCAATTTTCAGTATGTTCACACGAGACCGGCACGAAAATCACAAATCTTTCAATTTATTCCCCTTGCCCTCCATTTTCTTTTTTCCAGTGCTTTGTGAGCATGCATTGTTCAGAAGCATGCAAGAGCACAACCGATCCGAAATGTATTTCTTTTTTACATCCAGACCTGGATGAATATTGAATTCGGAGCGGGATCGGTCCAGCGAGCGCGATGACTTCATGCCGGTCTGAGGATTTTTTTGTCCCGGTCTCAACGTCTCATGTAAGCATCTGTTATAAATAATACTATGGTCGAAATCGTCCTGGTCTTAGTGGAAGTCATCATTATGCACTGTCAGTTACAACACGTACCTACGTAAAGATCCAACATAAGGCCTCTGACGCCATCGTTCAGTTGCCTGGCAACACTGAACCTCTGATTATGAGCCCAGATCCCAAAATCGATTCCATAGCTATATGAATTGTGAGTGACTAAGAAAGCCACTTTATTGTACGGCTTCTGTAGATCCTGGGAAAATAGGAATCAAAAACTTCATTACGGCCTTTGCATGTGTCGAAACAATAAGTGACTGGATGGCATGGAGAACAGTGGGATTTTCAAAACAATGAAAAGACAATGGAATATTCTGATCACTGGAACGTGACTGGATGGCATGGAGAACAGTGAGATTTTCAAAACAATGAAAAGACAATGGAACATTCTGATCACTGAATCATGACTGGATGGCATGGAGAACAGTGGGATTTTCAAAACAATGAAAAAACAATGAAACATTCTGATCACTGGATCATGACTGGATGGCATGGAGAACAGTAGGATTTTCAAAACAATGAAAAAACAATGGAACATTCTGATCATTGGATCATGACTGGATGGCATGGAGAACAATGGGTTTTTCAAAACAATGAAAAGACAATGGAACATTCTGATCACTGGAACGTGACTGGATGGCATGGAGAACAGTGGGATTTCAAAACAATGAAAAGACAATCGCATGGAGTTAACTCCAAAAATATTATTCTGTTAATAACACTTTTGCAGTTGGTTCCACTCCTTGAAGTTTACAGTGTGTAAAGACCATAGGCCATGCTTTCACCTGCGGTTTATTCAGATGGTATTTCTTGGGTGGCCTGTGCAGATTTTCCCCTTACCTGTTTACTGAAAGCAGGTAGTTGTGCCATCTGGCAGGTGGCCGGCAGACTCCCACAAAGTGAACACGAGAGCGACCGGGCACATCCGATACCCATCGAACACGGCTCGCCTTCCAAACGAGGTTCATGATAACACTTTTGAACTCCTGGTTGACATGACAAGCTATGTGCGCATGCGTAACCAATACTACATGGTTGACCTGCAAGTCGCGGGTGGTTATAACACACCTGAAAACCGGGCGCACAACTCAGGCCCGAACCACATGGGAAACCCAACGAACACGGCTCATCCAGTTTCCTGGGCGAGTTGAAACATCTCTGAACTCCAGGCTGGCAGGTTAGACCTTTTCTACAAGGCTTTGTCCAATGGCAGGACTCTTTATATTCCGAAAGTGCAACGCAACGTTGTCGGAAAGCTTCGCAAACAGCCGGAGACTTACATTGACAGAACACTGAACAATCGTCCCCAGGAACACCTTTGTGATTTCCGCGCGGACAGGAGAAAAGCCACAATGCATTTACAGTAATGACGAGAAACGACACAAAAGTTACAAACTTGAAATTCATAAGACATCAACGCCACCAATAACTTTAAAAAAAAACTTCTTCTTTGCCTTCAGCAAAACTCCAGTAAATTATAGACTAATATAACGTAGCATTCACGTAAAATAGCCATGATTTCCTCTCGCAAAAAAGTCACGAAAGTTTAAAAATGAATTAATAGTTTTATATGCACGATTTTTTTTTTACAAAATTCACTTCATTTCAGCGTATACTATTCGTAAATATGAATGTATTAACGTATATCAAGAATTACATCAAGTCGAGTATTTATTATGTACAACTTATAAACACTGACAGGTTGTTTTTGTTAATGTTTAAATTAAGATATGATCTTGTGCATTCTTCAATCTTCATGTGTTATATTTAAGATGATGTATTCTGAGCGTGCCCACACCAGGCAAGTTGAACATTTTGCTTGACCGGCGTAGGGGGAAACAAACTTTTCAGCTTGCCTGCATCATCTTAAATTTGACCGATGAAGTATATGAACGCTAGACAGGTTCAGATTTGACTTCTACTACCGCTCTATATTGGTTAATCGAGTAAATTAAACGCATCTGATTGGTTAATTGAGTAAATTAAAAGCATCTGATTGGTTAACTGAGTAAATTAAACGCATCTGATTGGTTAATTGAGTAAATTAAAAGCATCTGATTGGTTAATTGAGTAAATTAAACGCAATTGATTGGTTAATGGCAGCGGCAGAAGTCAAATCTAAACCGACACTATCTCATTGTCTTGTGTACTTCGTTTCCGTTCGTTTTCCTCAGAGAAATAATAGATAATTATATAAAACATCAGTGTGACAATTCTCTGCGCTGTCTATTGTGAGACTCAGTTCCGACAACGTAAAATACGCCTTTGAGGCTAAATATATGCTTACTAGGCCATGACATACAAAATATTCACGCAAAAGTGTACGAAATTCATCACACTGCTCCTGAACTAGGGGCAAATACACAGCGACAACTTTAGTCCTTCGCATTATGAATAGCTTACAAAACACACAGTGACTCATGCAAGTTCAAGAGCACAGCAGCATAGAGTAGATACATAAGTATCTCCTCTGTGACAGCAGTCATGAACCAGGGGCTAAATGTCAGGCAACACCCATGTATGTACTCTACAACTTAAGTCATTGGCATGATGAAACAATGTACAAAATATCCGTCTCTAGGACAGGGTTACTTTCAAAGATGTGCAGTACCCACTGTAGAGTTCCACATCATGAGCCAGGGGCTAAATGCAAGGCAACTGCCCCTGTATGCACTCGGCAACTCAAATCCTTTGCATGGTGAAACGGTTTACAGAAAATCTGTCTCTCGGTAACAGTGACTCGCAACATCTTGTCTCCTTCAGTGAACTCATAAATTCCTCCAACTATGAAGAGTTCACTCTGATCCTCGGAATGGTCCGCATCGTCCACCGAAGCGACACTACATATCCCCACGCCCCAACAAGAAACCTCTGTACCCGAGATTACTAACCATCGGTTCAACTTTGGATCAAAACATTCAATGCTCTCCTCCAGGTACGTCATCATGCCGTTATGCATATGTGCCCCACCAAACACATACAGGGTGTTGTTCACACAGGTTAATCCGAGACACCCACGCGCATAGTTCATGGAGGGCATTGTTGACCAGCAGTCAAGTTTAGGGTCGTACACTTCAACAGTATCCAAGGCAACATGAAAGTCCCCACCTCCCACTGCGTATATCTTACCATTCAAAGTGGCTGCACCAAGGGCACCTCTGGCTGTAGGCATGGGGGTAAGAGATGTCCACATGTTAGTGACGGGGTCATAACATTCAACACTACAAAGGCTGACCTTGAGTAAGTCATCTGTACCACCAATACAGTAGATCTTACCATCACATACTGCAACTGCCAACTGACCTGAAATAAATTAGGATTAATAAGAGGCAACATCCATATCGAAAACTATGTAACCTAAACGGAAACGATAAGCAAAGAAAATAACCGCTTTGCTCTCCGGGCAATATCTGCCAAGTGTCAATATCAAATTGCCAATATATTAAATCCCATTTTGCTAAGCCGACATTCTTCAGTTATCAGCAAAAGCCAGCCAAATTTTATCTCAGTTCACTCTGGTTTCAACGGTCTTCAACAGCATATATACAAGTAAATGCACTGGTGTTTTGATCTGCTTATGAGTATGTGCGGCCACAGCTGGGAATTGAACCAGCAACCTTTGCACTTCCAAAACATTATGCACTAACGTCTGAGCTACATGGCTAAGTTGATGCTGCTTAATTTTGCCAAACAAACTATTCAGACAAACTATCTAGAATATTACAATCTATGCTGGAAATGGTTCTGGGAACAAATCATGATATATTTTCATTTATCGTTTGTCTAATGTCATGTTTAGATGAATAATCTGTCAAGATTCACTGCACATAAAAGTTTTTTCTTCCACCTGTTTACTGCATTTATTCGCAGACAAATTCTCAGATGAGCTTCTTTGCCCAAAAGTTTGCTCACACATAGTGTAAAACAGAACAATGACGTGCCAATACATGTAAGTTGACAAGCCTTTGTTGTTAAAAAGTTGATTCCAGTTCAATTGACCTACCTTTACACTCATTCATAGGTGTGACATCATACCATTTGTTAGCGACAGGGTCATATCTCTCGACCGTCCTCACAGAGACATCGTCATCACATTGCCCACCTACCGCATATATCATCCCATCAAGAACTGTTACACCATGTCGTATACGAGCAGTAGTCATGGGAGCAACATTCAGCCACGTCTCAGCAATTGTATCGAAACAATCCACTGTGTTAAGAAAGCGTTCCTCAACTCTGTCGTAACCACCAATAACATAAATATAACGTTGTGTGTTCTTACGTGGGGTGTTATCCTTGCTACGAAGTAAGCATCGTCTCTCAGGGTAGTTCTGGTATTCACATGCATCTTTGAAAAGTTGAGTACAATCTAAAATATATGGTATGAAAAAGAGTCAAGATACAGAAAC